ACTCTTAGATCAAACAGATACTGATAAGCACTTCGGTGGGTAGAGCTACAATATTAGGCTATGGACTCATAATGATGTATTTGATACAAAACTTTTTAAAGGTTTACATTTCTCCAGTGAAATTTTAGTTCATAATATTTATAGAAAAGAAGTTACTTAATAAAGAGTTGATAAGGAGTAAGTCGTATAGAGAGCTGCTAAAAAGTTTCTGTTAGAAAGAAATGTTAAAAATCCCAAATCTTAAATGTCTTGTTTAGAATTTGATTCTGAGTCAAACATCATATTGTCACTATCAAAACCCTCCTTAAACCCTAAAGACATCCATGAGCCCTAAAAGGACTATTCATTAAACAAAGACTACACTTGTGTGAAATCCTTATTTCCCCAGCAGCCTATGGGATGATAGACGCAAAGGAAAAACATTCTTAAAACTAAACTAAACTAAACGTATTTGCGTGATGAAAAAACGATAATTCTCGTAAAGAAATGAAACTATAGAGGAGATTTTACTTACAAATCAAACAGCTGCTGAAATCCTTCCAGACGTGGAGCCTCACCGCTCGTCGGGACGTTTCTGCCGCTTCGCATCTCTGTAGTTTCTCTCCTCGCTCCTCGGGTCAGCCAGGGTCGTGTCCTCACCCGGGACGACCTCCCTCCCTCCTCCTCCTCTCCTAAAGGGAATCCAGTCGAGTCAAGCCAGGGGAGAAACCCAGAAAGAACAGGAGCGAAACGGGGCTGCTTTCAAAATAAGTCTAAGCAAGGTTGTTATTTAAACTATTTTATGATTTTAGTAGCCTACAGTTCGCACTTTAGCTTTGAAAATAAACTGTTTAAGCAAAATGTAAGTCATGTAGGCTAGCGATTCAATTCTGAGCAAATAAGTGATAACGGACGAAAAAGCATTTTGGTGACCATAGCCTGCAGCAAAGCGGCTGTCTCCGCAGTAGCACTTCCGTCTGTCAGTGAGGACATGTCCTGTGTCTCCTCAGCCAGCCTGCAACAAGCAGCACTACCTGACTGGCCCTAAATGGCCCTTGAAATGTCAGCTCAGAGAGCCCTTATTGAGGTTTACACCGATTACAACAAATGTCACATGAAAAGGTATATGGTGTAGTGTTTAGGTAGTTCCTGCTCTGAGTCTGATGATGCTTAAAGTATTTATTTGCTGACTAAACCCCATCCCCCACTGACTCTTTTACTTTTCTTCTCTTTTATTCCACAGTTTATTCATGCATTTTATTTAAATTTATTCATTTGTTACTCCACCCTCCCTCCATTTCTATATATACAGTATATATACTGCTCAAAAAAATAAAGGGAACACAAATAGTTGAACGCCTTATTTTTGTGTTCCCTTTATTTTTTTGAGCAGTGTATATACTGTACCAGACTGCATAGAATTGTATAAACACTACACACCCTCACATACACAAACCAAATGTATAAGCCTGATGTCTCCTTTGTGTTTCTGTATCTATTGTAACTGTATTTATTGTTTTGTGTTTGTCCTGTAAATGTGCCGTTTTGTGTTGCATTAAAAAAAACATTTAAAGTGACAGTGCTAGACAATGCATGTAGGCTGTAAAATAATGTTTACCATTTAAGTCAGAGCTGGTCCTGGCTTCACTGGGGACCTAAGCAAACTTCTACAAAGGAGCCCTTTTACCTGACCCATGAACTATGTAAACTATTGCCACTGCCACACAGTCACACCTGAGATCCCACTAATCCCCCTAAGTCATTCCACCTTTAAAAGTGTTTGCCCATCTCTCTATGAATAAGTAGACTGAATAGAATGAGGTAACTATGGTCACTTTTGACTCACCCAAAAAGACAAAAACAAAAAACAAAACACAGCCTCTATGAATTTTAAATTGACCATCACAGCCTATGTTACATATAAACAGGCAAACAGAATAGTACATATAAAAATTTTAATCTGGAACACATTCATTTATTCTTTATCATCATTAGTTCCTACAAAATGTCCTTAAATTAACCTTTATTTAAGACATTTTCCTTTAACATTTTAATACGTTTACATTCATTTTCATCAAGCTTTGTGCATCATTGTAAATACTGCTATAAAAAATAGGGGATTTCATGGTTTTCTCTTTACCGTCCAAACCTTAGACTGTAACCTTTAGACATGAGGAGAAGGTGAGGCCTGACAGAGTTTGTGGGGCCGTACACAACCCATGTAGTGGGCGTTGTCTGTCTGTGCTTGTGAGACATTTCAGGTGCTCTTGAGGGCCCTCTGGCAGCCATGTGAGCCCTAAACAGGTGCTTAGTTCACTTATGCATTGGGCCAATTGTGATGCAAATTTCATGTGTTAGCTTACTAATGTTTTCTCATTACTACCATTCACACAGTACAACTTTAACGTCATTAGTTTTGCAGATATTTGTTTAAAAAATCAAAGTATTGGACAAATTGGATTTTCGGCGTGTGGGTTTGATTAAACTCAGAGGATTATCAAAGTTACAATACACTGTCTGGGCTCCATGAAAGTCTCTGCAAAATTTGGTGCCAATTCATCCAATTGATGTTGAGAACCCTGACTTGTTGGTGGTACCAGAGGAAAAAACTAGAGGATTACCAGGGGCTCATCTTCTGGAGACAGTGAATGTCTGTACAAAATTTCAAGGCAATTCATCCGAAAATTATAAAGATATCTCATTCTGGACCACAGACAAACATAGCCATCTTTGGAACCATGTGATCACTGTGGATAAAAATAAAGAATTAAAATTTGTCATGGGCCACCAGGATGACAGCGTGTACTGTAAGAAGTTTTACATGGTCTGACAATTTTATTGTTACAGTTGTACCTGGATGTGTTGCTTTATTTTTTATTCCCCCTGGCTTTACAGTGGGGATGGCTGGGACCCAGGAAGCAGAGTGGGTTGTGTCTAGTGTGGTTTGATTCCTGGCTTGTTGAAGTGTCCTTGGGCAAGACACTGAACCCCTTTTTGTTCCTGGTGGCTGTGCCATCAATGTGTGGATGTTTGGGTGCATGAATGGGTGAATGGACAGTAGTGTAAATACAAGCCCATTTACCATTCTTTCCTCATACAGTAAAACAGTGAAAGAAACTGTCAAAAGCTACAACTGTTACATGCACATTTAAAACTAGTTGGTGTGATCTTAATTGCATGAGATGTTTAACTACTTTACAGTAAGAAAAAACAGGGGAGCGTTTCCACTGTTAATTAGATGTGGAGCTTGGTTGTAATTCAACACTCCTGCAGTCAATTTCTAACTGAAGTTGTCCATCAAGCAGAGAAAATGTATTTCTTAAGGACTTTCTGTGATGATCATGGTCGATCTATTTACTGCTAACACAGTGTCAGGTTGTCAGATGTCAGATTAGGCCATTCAGCTTACAAAATCCCATGTGGACAGCAGTTGAGCAGGCCTGAGTTGTCCTCGTTTGCTCTTTGCAGATGACCACAGTTCAGGGTAGCAGTTTCATGGAAAGTGTGTTGTGTACGTGCTGCCTTTGTTTCTCCAGAACACACTTGTACAGAGAGCATGATTATATTTCTATTTCCATCGCATTAGATTATCAGACACAACAGTTGCAACTATAAAAGAACAAATGCGAGGACTGTCAGTGTATTTTCCCTCTGTACAGAGACGGCTGGCCTCACCGTGTGCGAGCAAAAGAAACTCATCACTGTGTTGCTGCATCTGTGAGTTCGACTACAGTATACATTATGTAACAGCAGAATGCAAGTGAATAATGTAAGGACCCCTATCCAGAGTGCGCCGCTGGAGTGCCAGTTGTTAGTGTGATTGGAAAAGAGAGTTGTTATGTAATACCCAAAGAGAGGGAGCATGTTAGGACTGCGCCCTGCTGAGAGTTCAGCTGGGGTGAGGCTGCACAGAAAAAAGGAACATTGTTTCATGAGCGATGTGTTTGGACAGTCATACTTCCTCCTCACATATGGAAATGCTTCATTGTGTCTCTGTGTCAGTCTCACCAGTTTCACCAAAACAAGGCAGCAGTTAACTTCTCGTCGTTTCACTGATGTGTGTATGTCTCCAGGCCATGTGGAAACAACAGTGTTATTGTACCATGGAGCTGTTTCTGTGACCTTGACAGATCAGTTGCAACATGTTGGCTTATGGCTGTGACATACAGGGGTGTAAACACACTCAGAGAGCAGGCTGGGGTGAAATTCTGAGAAAGAAAACGATATTGCCATCCCAAGGTTCAGCTAAATGAACTGCCAACAATTTAGGTCAAATAGACCTAAAGCCTTCAGATTTCAGATCCTGCCTTATGTGTTTGTTTTTTTAAAGTAATTTTCCTAGAAATGCTGACAGCTTCTAGTAGGAGGGGGGTTACACAGCAAAAAAAATAAATGTCCATGTTATGCTGTAGGGATATTTCAGTACGCCATTCGTGGGCTATGATTATTTCATTTGTTTCCTGTTGAGAGCATGAATTCATGTTTGTTTTTTCTTCCTTGACTCCTCTCTGGCTTCATACAAGACAACGTGTTTCCAAAAATGTCTACACTGAAGTGCAATTTTGTTAATATTAGTGCAGCTATTTGTTTTTTTTTGTTTGTTTTTTGCATATTGAAAAATAATTTCTCCAAAATTCCCAACACAGAGTTGATTACTAGATCCATTCTTTTGTACATGCGCTCACAAGCACTGGACATAACCATGCTTTTTTGTTTTAAGCCTTTTTTGTCATTCTGGCACCTTTTTGTAGTCATTTTGTGTGTCTTTGCAGTATTTTTGTGTATCTCTGTAGTTGTTTTGAGTCTTTTTCAAGCCATTCAACTGACTTTCCAGCAAGGAATGTTAACATTTCAAACTGAGGCTCAGGCCCAGGGGCCCCCTAAACCCATAGGCCCCTGGGCCTGCATCCAATAGGTTCATTCAGTAATCCATCCATGGTTATGTGCCAAGAAACACAGAAATGTACAACAAAAGGCAAGGAGGAAATTCCACCAGGGCGTCCTGAATAAAACAAATAATGATTTCATATTCTTTCTAATAATGTCCTTTAAGACCAGTTCACATCTAAACCAACTACTCACCATAACAATACCAACCACAAAACCAAATATGGATGAGCAATAACAAATGCAGGCTATATAAACCCCATATACTGTGTAACACATTACTGTATGTTCAGAGTTGGAGAGTGCGGACACTTTGCTTGGTTCTTCCTTCTTCTTTGTAAGGAAAGTGTTGGATTATGGTTTGAATTAAGTTTTAAAATGAGATTAGGGTGAGGGTTTAGGTTAGGCATGTTATAATGGATAAAGTCTCGTTCCAACATATTTATATCTCGAGTTTACTAGTACTCAGTACGTAGAGCCACTTGTATAACTTATTCTGTGGTGCTGGAGGGGCTTTATCAAAATGAAGAAAACTACTCAAAGAACTTTTAAAACTTGGAATTAAGCTATACTGTATATAAGTAAGTTATATATATATTTGTGTTATACACTGGTCACATGGAGTTTGAAGGATGTTTACTATACAGATTCTAAAAAGATATCCCACCATCTGTAGGTTTATTGTGACCCTTCCTATTTAAAACTGTCTCTTGTATTTAATCACTGAATGCATTATGTCAGTAAGTGTCCTCACAAGTACAGAAATAAATGTGTGCATGTGCATTCATGTGTATGTGAAGCTTCATTAGATCCTCATAAAACAACGGTAGAAAATAACTGCCTGCCCGTGCCCAGAGTGGGCAGCGGCCTTGTTTGACGTGTGCACGCTCAGGTTCAAATCAGGGGAACCAACTCACCCCCTTCCCCTCCCTCCTTTCTCTCTCTCTCAGAATCAGCTTTATTGACCAGCTGTTTTGGACACGAGGAATTTGATTCTGTGTAATGTGTCTTTCAATATGTATAAACGATGTTCTTCCATAAGACAAAGAGTAAAAAAAATAATACTGACAGAACAAGAAAAGGAAAAGAATGTGCAAAGAAGAAAATGGAATGTACATTAAGAAAATAAAGTAGTTATAAATATAGAAATATATATACATGCAGTTTAGAGGCAGTTTTCCAGGTAGATCTGTAAAAAAGGTATATTTACAAGGCATTGCACTGAGGGTTGTCGTTCTGTTATACAGTAATGGGTTGAGTGTTCATCAGCATGATGCCCTAGGGGAAGAAACTGTCTTTGTGAATGGTTGTCTTACAGTGACATGTAGCACCGTTCAGAGGGGAGGAGTTCAAACAATTTGTGTCCAGGGTGTGAGGGGTCTGCAGAAATCTTCTTTGACCTCCTACTGACCCACGAGGTGTACGGGTCCTCCTTGGAGGGCAGGCTGGCTCCGATGATTCTTTCCCTCTCTCGCTGCTCTTGACGTCCCCAGTCCACTTGAACTCTCAGTCCCTCTCAGTAGTCTCAAACCATCACCACTCTAATCCTCATTCTGCTTTCAGATATCATTATGTGAGGTTATGTAATTGCAACAGTATGTTCGATAATTCCACACACACATATCAAGTTACAGTAATATGCACTGAATTGGTTACACCCATACAGTCAGTGGTTAAACCAAGAGTGAAAATGTCTTAAGTTGGACACATGTATCTGCATTTAGAAGGCTTTATCTCTTCTACCACATGGAGGGTTGCCAGTTTAACCCTGTTTATGACTGTGTAACCCCAAACACAATACAAAATGTAGACAGACAGATGTCTCTGTTTAAAGGCAGTGCTGTCCTGACATAACAGGGTTTAATAATGTAGCTGCTCAGTGGAGAGGCAGAGCCCTCTCCACTATGCTGCTGAATGGTGTCTTTCTCTTGGACTGCAGAATAGAATAGAATAGAATCTTTATTGTCATTGTACACAGTACAATGAAATTGGGTGCAAACCTCAGGTGTAGAGAAAAATGTGTCAGTATCAAAAACAAAAAACTATAAACCACATAAAAATCACACTTATTGCACATTGACAGACATAAACTGCAAAGGTCCGTCTCCATATTGACAGGAATAAAATAATTATGTTAAATATGTTAAAAAGCTACAAACAACATTGTAGGGTACAGTACAATGTCACATATTTACTAAGTAATGATAATGACATACTACATATAAGCTGAAGAC